CAGCCGCTTCCAGCCGCTTCCAGCCGCTTCCAGCCGCTTCCAGCTCCACGGGGTGGACGGGCCGCTGCAGCACCGGGGCGTCTGAGACGGCGCGACGAACGCCGCCGCCTGAGCGAAAAGCACTTCCAGACCCCTTTTTTTCAGATTCGCAATTTACGGTCCTCGCGTAATTAAATCTCTCCGGGATAAGAAGTCGCCGCGTGAGGGAATGGCTCGCCTGGCCGCCGGGGCCCCGGCCCGGGGCCGTCAGGGCTGAGCAAGAAAACGTACATGGCCCTGGTGCACGGCACGACAACGAGAACGGGGCGGGGCGGGGGAGGCCCGCTGGCCGAGTCGTCGATAAATGTATGTACTTCTTTCCTTTCTCTACACCCCGACTTGCGCCTCCTAATGAGGTGACCCTGCTGCGTCCACTCTCCCCCTCCGCGCCCCTCCCCTTCTCCCCGTCCACTGCCCTGGTTAGGCTGTACCGGCGCGCAGGCGTGTCGCGCTGGTTTGCCTACCGCTTGCGGCGCTCGCCTCACGGGCCGTCCGGGCGAGTAGGCAACCCACTCGCACGCCTGCATCCGGTACAGAAGAACGACGAAGGTTTTCAAAAAGACTTTCCCCAAACTCAACGCGAAAAAGCGTGTGGCACTCTCCTCTCAACCCCCCGCCCCCAACCCGCCCCATCCCCCTCTCGCTCTCTCTGTCTTACACACACATGCATTTAGAGAGAGAGAGAGAGGACGGCGCTGCCGACTTCGGAATCGAAAAGCAATTCAAGTCGGGCATGGCGTGGCGTGGCGAGGACGGGGTACGGGTCGGGTTGGTCGGGCTGCGTAATGACTTGGATGCAATGCCCGGTGCACCGCTCGGCCCCTCGGCCGGCCTCGGCCCTGCTGCCTGACCGGCCCGGGGCCTGGCCGGGCCTGGCCGGGGCCCTTCACTACCTTCACACCCGCGTGCCTCCCGCTACCACACTGCCGAAAAACACAAATACGGCACGACCCTGCCACTTTTGATACACAGCATTATTGCCACCCTGGAATCGAAATGAAGATTGCTAAGCGTTCCGATCCGAAAGCCAGTATCATTAAGATTGACCGACATGCTTGGGTCAAATCAAATTATCTGATTATTTCGACAAAAGTGACGTTATATGGCGATGCGAGCTCAGCGGCTCCCGCGGGGGAATCACTAGTATTTTACGTAGTAGTATCATTCAGCACACACACACGCACGCACACACGCACGAGCACACACACACATGCACCACACACACTTGCAGCCTTGCATGGTGCACCGCGACTCAACGCGGCATGTTCCGATGCCCCCACCTTCCCGCCTCCCTCACCCCCTTCTCATCTCCGCCGGACTCCGGGGCCGTGTAGTGCCTTTGCTTTCTTGTTTCTCGTTTCGCTTCCTCCCGAGGATCGCTCGCTCGCTCGCCCGCCGAGGCCTCCGTGTTTTTGCGCGCGCGCCCCCGCCTCTCTTGCTCGCCCCTTTGACGTGCACTTCTTCTCGCACTACACCTCGCCCCGCCCCGCCCCTCTCGCCGTGCAGCCCTGGCGCAGCCCGAGGCAGCAGGGGCAATGGCCACATGCCGGCCGCGGCTTACGGCCGCCGTGTTTTTGCCGTGTGTTACCTGCGCGCGTTGTCGGTGGCCGGTGCTGCGCGATATCAGTTCCGTATCGGAGCGTTTGCAATACTACAATTCGGTGGTGAATATGCCGCACGATATGGATATGCTATGCAATCGCGGTACATCTGATTCTGATTATAGAGGGCGAATGCCTCAATAGATGCCGCCACGCACGGGGATAGGTCGCGGCAGAGGCAAAGTACAGAGGGCTAGAACCCACAGAGACCCACACTGATTGCAGAGGGTGGCAGGTCCTGCAGCAGGTCCCGCAGGTGGGAAGGACAGGTGGTGCTTCCGCGCAGGGCTACCGTTCCGCGCGCTGCTGGCCGGCCGGGGCCGGACCAGAGGGATAGCCATCTGCCTAATGCGTGTGTGCACAGCGCGCTGTCCGGCCCACTGTCCCGCTTCCGGCTGGCCAAGCCAACACGCAGCAGGTGCGTCGTTTGGTGGGATTAGAGAAGCGGCCCGGCCGCCGCTTGGCGCGCGAAAGACAGGGGCATGTACACAGCAAAAGAAAAGGCACACCAACAAGTCTCACCCCGACTCAAAATAAATGTGAACAGAAACAAAGCGGCGGCGGTGTTGTGCCCTCACGTCCAGGCGGGAGACGAGCGGCGCGGGCGTGACCACTACTGGGTGGGGAGCGTGACAAGCTCCCGCCAAGCGCGGCGTGAGCGGGGCCCCCGCCCGGCAGCCCCAGACCCAGGTGCTCCGGGAGCATGCTCCTCGACGGCTACGTGAGCCCCAACGAGCGGCTACCAAGCCGGGTATCTCCCGCTACCCTGCCGGAATTGGGATTCAGCCCACCACCCACGGGCAAGAAAGAAAAATGTAGAAGAAGACGTGACGCACAAGCACAGCGACGAAAACAAGTGGCCCTCGAGCCCACGGGCCACAGACCGCCCACGGGGCCGCGCGGACACCACGTTTGTTTGCTCCGCGCGACATTCGCCAGGGAATGATTCCCACGCACCGGAGCCGACCGAAAGTACGGCGTTTATTCGGGGAAACGAAACCCGATCCTTTGGCGGCGGCGCCCCGAGTGCTTGGTATTCACGTCCAGTTTGGCCTTGCTTCTAGAAGCGGCGGGCCGCGGCCAGCAGAGACAGACACTCGCCGCTCCGCTTGCTCAGCCCGCTCCGCTTATGCAGCGCGGCGCGGAGACTTGCGCGCGCGGCCGGCCCAGAGCCCGCCTGGCCCATCGCCATGCGCGGCGGACCTCGCACCCCTAGGCGCCTGGCGCCACAACCCTTCCAGCCGGCGCCCGGCCCGGCGGCGCCTGCCGGCACGCAGGTGGTCAGTCGAGTGCATCCAAGCCCACCGCATGCCCAATGCGATGGAAGGACGAAGGGTCGCAGGAGGAGGAGGCAGTCCGTGGGACGCGCGGTGTCCCAGTCGGGCCCATCCAAGCGTCCCCCTGGCCCGCTCGAGTTACGGCGGGGCGCGGCGGGCCCAGCTGCACCCGGGGCACTGCAGGGCCCTGCGCCCAGCCCGCGCCCCGCCCGCGCCCCGCCCGCGCCCCCGCAGGGACCCTGGAGGAGGGAGGAGAAACACAATATGGCTGCCTACCTGTGGTCCCTGAGGTGGTCCTGGCGGCGGAACGCCTTGCCGCAGATGTCGCACGAGTACGGCCGCTCGTCCGTGTGGGTGCGCTCGTGGATCAGCAGGTTGTACGACTTGGTGAACTGCCGGTCGCAGAACTTGCAGATGAACTGCTTCTTGGGGCGCGACGCCCTGCCGGGCGCGCGCAGCAGTCTCCGGTCGAGGCCGTGGCCGGGCCCGGCGCCGGGGAACAGCGTGCCCGCCGGGTACTGGAAGCCCGGCGGCGCACCCGTCGGGAAGGCGGAGGCGTAGGGGTGCGGCCCGGCCCCGGCGTCCAGGAGGCCGGGCGGCGGCGGCGCGCGGTGCGGAGGCATGAGCATGGCCGCGGCCGCGGCGTGCGCGGCGGCCTCGGCCAGGGCCAGCTCCTTGCGCTTGTCGGCCATGAGCGCCATCAGGTCGAAGGTCCTCTTGCGGCCCGTCGGCTCCTCGCCGGCGGCGGCGGAGGCGGCGCTGCTGGAGGCCGTGCTGGCCGCCGCCACGGCCGCCGCCTTGTCAGCGGCCATGGAGGACGTGGTGGACGACGAGTAGGGCATGTGCAGCGTGCGCGAGGGCACGACCGGCACGAATGCCGAGCTCTCCCGGTGGTGCGCGGCCACCAGCCCGCCCATGCCCTGCACGCCGCCCATGGCCGCCATGTGGTAGGCCATGAAGCGTCCGGAGCCCGGGCCGCCGGAGCCGCCCCCGGAGGCGCCCGCCCCCGAGGGCCGCCCCGCCGAGCCGTCCCGCGACACGGACCGGGGCATGGACAGGTCCCGCGGGGGCGGGGCTACCACGAGGCCCCCCGCTCCGCCGCCCCCCTCTCCTCCCCCGCTGGTCGGCATGGCGAATGCTCCCTGCAACAGACATAAGCACGAGGTCAGCGCGGGTCACAGCAAGGGCGTTATACTCTGGAATGGGTTTTGAGCGTGATTAGTGATCGTGTAATGTGTGAAGGGTGGCGTGTCTTCTTGTGCACGGAGGGAGTGTACACTGAAACTTCAGCAAAGAGCTGATCGGAAAAGAAAAGATAATAAAGCAGAGACACGACAACAAACGGCCCTTTAAATTATGCATAGCTGCGTCGTTAAAGACGAGAGTATAAAACTTGCCCCCCCCCCCTTCGTTCGACCTCGCTCTGATCGCTGTTGCTGCTTCATATTTGATGATATTGACACTCGGAGGCACCGGGCCATAAATAATGGTGAATATAAAACAGGGCCCGAGGGCGCTCGTTTCAATTACACCCTCATTCAATCCAATACATTTTCGACTTCCGTTGCCGTGCCCCATTTAATGTGTTTGCGAGTCGGTTCGGCCCTGCTGCCGATGTCTCCGGAGCAGCGTCAGAAACCCGTTGTGTGATCGGGAAGGTGCCGGGCGTCTCTTTGCGGTGTGGGCGGGTTTGTCTACCCCGTCTACATGTAAGAAGGCACCGGGCACCGGCGCACGGTAAGTAACACCTGGATCCAAGTCATAATCTGGCTAGACAGACAGGGGGCTTTAGTTTTGTTTGGATATAAAATAAAGTGGGCGTTAGTAACTTAGTTCAGCCACACGGGTTTGAAAAACCGTCGGCACGGCGTTACCGCACACCTTGGTGCAGGAGTGCAGGAGTGCAGGAGTGCAGGGGCTGCAGGTCGGGCTGCAGGCCGACTCCTCGCAGTGCAGCCTCCACCGCTGCATTTATAGCGGGACCGCCTTGTGCGCCGCCGCGCTCCCGCCGCTGCTGTTGGCAACACTGTGCAGGTGGATGTGGTCGGGGCGACGCGGTTGGCAGTCGTGCGAGGAGTCACATCCCTGACAAATAGGCGCTGTCTCCTCCCGGGCCCTGCGAGCGAGCCAGCTAAACAGATACGATGCCTATCTCTAATCGGATGGAGAGATCGGCTGGAGGAGCAGCGAGCCAAAGCCAAACCTTTTTTCCAGCCCTCATTAGGGTTCACCTTCCCGAGTCGCCGGGAGTATCCGGACGGTCCGGAGCGCGCCCTGGAGGGTCTGGAAGCCTCCGGGGCGGACGGCCCTGCAGGGGCCAGGACACAACCAGTGCAAGACGCACAGAAGCGCCGGCCCGACGGCCCAAGACAAGGGAAGCCATACGCCAGTGCATTGTGCAGGCGCCAGGAGGACGCCCACCAGATGCGCCATTGGCTCTCTTGTTCAGACTTCCGGATGGCCACTTTTGGGCTTGCGGCCGCAATCGGTGACACCCGACCCCAACACTGGACCAGGACATTTCACGAGACTTGGTAGCCACATGTCGGGCGGTTACATTATAGCACCCGGGAAAAACATATTTGATTGCATAATTTAGAGGAAAACTAATGACCAGATAATCCTAGAAGGAGATTAATCAGACCATCGCTTTGTTTGTCCTACTTTGACTAACGCGAATGCAGTTGTATATTTTGTGGAATATTGGTGCATGTCGACGGTTTTGGAAACATCATTGCTTCTGCCGCCCAACAAGTCACAGTAGTAAAATGGCCGAAAATGCCTTATATCATTTGTCTCCGACATATATTTACAACGCTCGTCCCCACCGGCCAGCAGGCAGGCCAGCCAGGACTCCACTGGGCGGTGGGACGGGCGCGACAGCTTCTCCGGTTTCCAACTGGATCCGTGGCAACACCTGATCCTAGACCACTGCGAGTGGCTGGCTCCTTGTAATAGGACAATGTGGACTGGCTCCCTGCACCGCAGCCGCTCCGCGGCGCCGCCCGTTTAGCGCGGTCACATTCCCGGCCGCCCCATTGTTATCCGCAGCGTGTGATTTCGCGATAAGTCGTTTCGCGCATAATTAGCCAGGGAACAACTACCGTCCGTCCCGAGCGGGCGTTGATGCGACCCGTGATGATCCTTCTTCCAGTCCTCGCTCCTGCGGCAGGCTCCGGCAGCTCCAGCAGCCAAGCAGCCTCCGGCCGGCTCCAGGCGCTGCTCGGCCCGGGAGACCTCAAGGCAGGAGGGAGCCGAGGGGGGAGGGGCGCTGCCGGCACGGTCGGGCCGGGCCTCTCCTGGCGACCGCAGGGGCGCAGGGGACGATAGCGTCCTTGATTCGATTCACGGAGGCCCCAGCCCAGCCCGCAGTCGCTTTGCCCGACTCGGTCGGTCGGATGTATTCGTGGTGTACCGGGTGATTCAGAGAAGACGCAGGTGCGGGCGGGTTTGTCTACCCAAGGGGCTACGGCGCCTTACGGGCAGAGCGGGTAGGCAAACCCGCCCACACCTGCGTCTTCTCTGAATAACCCGGTACGGTATGAGGATTGCAATGAGCACACACCTTCCCTGAGGGGACGTCCCACAACGACTGCGACGAGTCCCTACTAACTTTGAGGTGTTTTGATCCGGTGTGGTGGGTTCTTTGTTGGATACTATCTTTGTTCTGAAATGTTAGTGATTGAATGAGTGGAACATTGTAACAATGTCAACGAATAAGAAGAATCCGGCAAAACATAAGTCCCCCCCTCCCCCTGGGACTCGATGTGTTAACTCCAATCAACAGCAAAGATGCGCCTAATCACCAATCAGCCGCCGCCCACATCTGACAAGTGGAGAGTACCCCCTCGGGTACCCCTTCGGGTACTCCGCACCCTTGGCTAATGGGTCGGCGGGGGGCCTCCGGGGCCACCACGAGCAAGCAACCCCTCGCCCATCCCCGCCCGGCCCGCACTACCTGAACAGCCGGGCAGTGAGTTGCGCCCCGAGGCACCGGCCCGGCCCCGAAGGCCTTCACGCCGCCCCGCCCGTACCCCGTACGCCCGTATGCACGGGACCGTACCGACGTGGTGTACCGTGCCTCAGATTACGGCCGGGCCGAGGGCCGGCCGGGCCCGCCACAAAGGCAATACATACCGTCTGGCCGGGTCGACGACTGTGCCAGCCGCTGCTGCCGCACAGGTGAGCCCCGCAGGCGAGCCCCACACTCTGGCTGCCCCGCCCCGGGGGACGCCCACAACAACCCTCCGCGTCAGGTTGCCTACGACAAAGTTGCCTTCATATTGCCCTCAATTGGATGCCCGTAATCTATGTATACAGGGTGGCCCACATAACCCGGACATTTTCGGAGAACTGCAGTACATGTACCGTATGGGACCGTGCAGGCGGGCTTCCCTATCGTCTCGCACCACGGCGCCTTTAATGCCCCTTGCGAGTAGGCAACGCGTCCACACGACTGCATGCGGCACGACGGGGGGTATGAGGGCCACCCTCAATTGACAGCAGTGGACTTCGGGTAGCTTACTATCGGTTGCTTAAAGCTTGCCTTTAGGGTTTCCTCGCCTCTTTGTTGCCTGT